AAAACAATTCAAAAAAAAAAAAAAACAAAAAAAAAAATGATTCAATACGCAATGACTTCACAAACTTGGCGAGAATATATAGCTACAACATGGCTTATGATACGCTCTGCAACCTATGTGTCCACAGTGATCGTCCATGTGCTCTGTCACCTATGTGTCTATATTCGGCGTCCAGTTGTGTCGTTCATATGTGGCATTGAAGTTGAAGAGACTATGCTCAGGCGGGTTGCGGTTGTCATGGAATCAATTGCATGCATCATCGCCCAACGGGGGCATAAGTTAGAGTGCGTGGAGATCGTTCACCCTCTTTCACTCTTGACCGCTAGTTCCTCGGAGGAAGGGAGAGGGAAGGGAGAGGGAGGAGGAGGAGGGGGAGGAAGAAGAGGAGGGGGGGGAGGAAGAGGAGGAGAGGGAGGAGGAAGAGGAGGAGAGGGAGGAGGAAGAGGAGGAGAGGGAGGAGGAAGAGGAGGATTTGCCTGGGTCAGAGGACGGTGTCCGACAGGAATCAAGCATCAAGATTACTGCAGGGATTTGAGGGCGTCTCACGTTGGACGCCTCTTTGAGCCATCGCGGGAACAGTAAAAGACTTGATATATTCATTTGTATTGTCGTTATTGGGCCCTTGTGAGCTCTCTCTGAAGACTCTCCTTGGGCACCTGCAGGACCTCTGCGATCGTCTTGAAGCTTTCTTATGCTGTATTGGCTTCAATCAGTTTTTTGTTGCGTACATGCCATAGTTCTCATTTGTCCAACTATTCACTACACAATTTGCTCTGCTGTTGTCATCATGATTACGCCAATGTCGTTGTCATGCCACCTCTCCGTAAACAGCTGGCTCAAACAGCTGGCTCAAGTAAACTATTGTGATTCATTGTATTGGAGGTACTCTCACAATAAATGGCTAAAGCAGGCATATTTGAAGATGCTACGAGATTCAATTCATGTACAGAACTTTACAATTATTACAAGGGAAGCGGAATGAATGCGGCAAAAACTGGGCGTAAATACCTTGATGATCTAACAAGTGAAAACGCAGGGACATTTTTGATAAATGTTGTTAGGCAATTACCGCCTACGAACGATGGGGGCTTCTGTCGCCGGGCAGCAAACTTTTGGGTGGCGCTTTGGATAGAACGAGCACAACGAAACACAGAACAAGACGTTTCAGAAATTCGAGTGTCCAATGCTGTCGAGAAGGTGCGGGATCATAAATTTGTCTTGTCTGAGTTGTATAGCAAAACAGGCAAGTTACAAAAATGTGCAGTCACAAAAGCAATGGAAAACAATACGTGGTGTATATCTTCAATGATGAATTTGTTTCAGATTCACAATCCTCGCGTTCAGTGGGATCCAGTGCCTAAATCATTACGCGAATATGTAGCAAAACTTAATTTAGACAGTGGCGTATACCCAGGAGGATTGACAATCATGCTTTGCATGATAGCCAGTGGGCGTTCTGCATCTCTGTCAAAATTATTACAATATACAAGTATCAAACAATGTTTTGACGATGAGTGGAGCAATCAAACGATTGACAAAATGCGTCACGTCATCTTGACCACAGAGAACGAAACCAAAGGATGCAAAATGGCAGAGGGATCAACATCTGAGGTGAAACGTAGTTCTCTGCTCTGCAATGTCAATTATGGGTATCACACTGACTGGGTGCGAGACTTCATGCGTGAATTCGACACAACAGAGAAGATATTTGAATCGTTCGCGCAATCGTTTAAAAAACTTTCAAATATTACTGGCATTGGAGCTTTCAGAGCAGTGCACATTCTACTTTGGATCTTTATTGCGTATGATGCTGAGATCTACGTGCCGGACGAAATGTTATATGATTTAGCGGGGCCAAACGTCAGACTGATGGAAAAGATGTGTCAATATGCTGGATTTACTTATAAACAGCTATACAAATTAGTGAAAGAAGAGCTGCCGCATATGGAACCGATCGAATATGAAGTATGGACGTGCAAAGTGGTAAACTTTATCTTTCTCTTGAATATGCAGAAACAGCCGAGCTTGTGTTATCGCTCATTGAAAAAGGAAGAATCGGTCAAGCCAGAAAGACGGCTAACCAAAAAGCAGAAGATTGAGTAGCTTGGGAATACAAAATATATGCTGCGCTGGCCATGATATTATCGTCGTACCATTTGGCTTCTGCGCTTGAATCTCTGCCCTTTATTATATGCGGATATATATATTAATTTTATGAGTGCCTGGTTTGCATGACACAACAGACAAAGCCGCGTGTTTCCGTTGTTGTTTGTTTTGTAGAAAGAATCACGTGTGTAGGAATTTTTTTCCCGTTTGTAGATAGAATTCGCCCGTTTGTCTTGTCTAGAAAGACGCGCACCCCCAAGGCGACTGCCCCTTACAAACCCAAGCACCCCATGTTATTCAAATGGCTGTCGCCCCTCCTCCCCTTCCTCCCCTTATTATAATATTTTTTTATATTTCGTTCTCACTTAGGCCTAATTTTAAGGGTATTTGACATTATATATTTTATTATTTGTTTTTTTGATATTTTTTTTTTTAGATGATGTTTCGTTCTTTAGTTTTTTGAGTTGAGATCTCTACGTAACCAAACAACACAACATTCAGTGCCCAAACACATATGATTCACCAGCATATATACATAGGCATAGCGCAGCAACTATGCTACATACATATCGATCATTGAGCACAGTATCCACGACATGTTATGTGTAAGATATTAAGTGCTTAACATCTTCATCATGATCAATAAACAGGGGGGCCCATAGGGGAGGGCCACCCATATGTATATATTGGGCCTCTCCTGGGGCACGAGTCCTTTGTGTTTGACGCGTGTTCCTATAGATTGCCCTTCTCCTGTGGCACGAATCCGCAATGGTTTATGTACGTCTGTTGCTATATATTGCGCCTCTCCTGGGGCACGAGACCTCCCTAGGAGGTCCCAGGATGCGGCAAGAGGCTCCTGGAGACAAAAGGATCCCCCAGAAGTTTCAGGAGGCCCATGAGGGACCGAGGCTCTTGACAGGACGCGCTCGTAATTAACAAGAGTCATTCTACACTCCAATTCCCTTCGCAGTTAGCTATCTGTCCAGACAGTCCAACTGTAAGCCCGTGTATATTCGAAAGCTCTTGCGCCTAGACATTCACGGCGGACAGGTCCATGCGAATAGATGCACTTCTTGTTCCCCATATCCAAAGATGGGGTTCTTGTTCCTCATATCCAAAGATTGGGTTCTTGTTATTCCCCATATCCAAAGATGGGGTTCTTGTTATTCCCCATATCCAAAGATGGGGTTCTTGTTCCCCATATCCAAAGATGGGGTTCTTGTTCCCCATATCCAAAGATGGGGTTCTTGTTATTCCCCATATCCAAAGATGGGGTTCTTGTTCCCCATATCCAAAGATGGGGTTCTTGTTATTGGCGGACCGCGCCGGAAGGACACAGAACAGGACAGAACACCACACCCATCACTCACCACTCATCACTCAGACTCACCACTCAGATTCACTCATCACTCAGACTCACACATGCTCTCTCATCACTCAGACTCAGTCATCACTCAGACTCAGGCGATTCGCTCGTCTCAGCAATCTAAGGGGGGCGGCGGGGGAGTATTTCACGGGGTCCCGTTCGCGGAATTTTGTGGGGATGTCTCAGGCGGTTTGGCAATTTTCTGATCCAACATGTTTCGCTTTCGGAGCAGATTTGGAGGATGTCTCAGGCGATTCGCTCGTCTCAGCACTCTAAGGGGGGCGGCGGGGGGGTATTTCACGGGGTCCCGTTCGCGGAATTTTGTGGGGATGTCTCAGGCGGTTTGCCTGTTTCTGTGCCCAACATCCTTCGCTTTCGGAGCAGATTTGGAGGATGTCTCGAGCGAGGCGCTCATTTTCACCCCCCAGGTGGGCCAGATTTTGAGGATGTCTCGATCGGTTTGCTTGTTTTGGTGGCCAGGCTCGTGGGCGCAGATTCTTCTCAGGATGCCACAGGAGGCTCCAACAGGCTCCAGGAGGCCCCAGGAGACCACATGAGGTCCCAGGAGGCATCAGGAGGCCACAGAAAGACTCAAGAGGCCACAGGATGTCCCAAGAGGCTCCAGGAGGCCCCAGGAAGCTCCAGAAGGCCTCAGGAAACCACAGGAGGCCCCAGGAGGCAACAGGAAGCGCCAGGAGGCCTCGGAAGGCAACAGGAGGCCCCGAGAGGCCCCAGGAGCAGGAGGCCTCAGAAGGCAACAGGAGTGGCTCCAATCCCATGTGTTTTACGTATGCTCCTATCGATTGGGCCTCACCTGGAGCACGATTCTTTGATGTTATACGTATGTTTCTATAGATTGTCCTTCTCCTGTGTACACAATCCTACATGTTTTACGTATGTTTCTATATATTGGGCCTCTCCTGGGGCACGAGTCCTTGGTGTTTTACGCGTGTTCCTATAGATTGCCCTTCTCCTGTGGCTCTAATCCGCAATGTTTTATGTACGTCTGTTGCTATATATTGCGCCTCTCCTGGGGCACGAAACCTCCCTAGGAGGTCCCAGGAGGTCCCAAGAGGCTCCTGGAGACCCCAGGAAGCCCCAGTAGGTTTCAGGAGGCCCCAGGAGGCCCCAGGCTCATGCACAAAGACGCGCTCGTACTACTGAGGCTCACTCACACTCCAATTCATTCGCAGTTAGATTGATGTCCAGACCGTCACAACTGAAGCCCGTTAATATTCGAAAGCTCTTGCGCCTAGACATTCACGGCGGACAGGTCCATGCGAATAGATGCACATATGGGGAGCTCCACGCAGTGAATAATTGTCTTCCCCCCACTTCCCATATTTTCCCATATTGTCTGGGGAATATACGATTCATTGTGTCTGTGTGTTTCTTTCCCTCCTGACTATCGTTCTTCCTCAGCCCTGCTCCAGGGCGTGCCGAAGGACTCCCGGGTCCGAGTCTCGGCGGCCCGAGCCCCGGAGTGGCCACGGCGGCCGCGCCGCCCGCCGAGAGAGCCCCGGCCCGAGGCGCCCCCTCTCGGGCGGCGTGCCCGCGGGTGCTGCTGCGCGCCACCCACGCCATCGCGTCCAGCGAGGGCATCTGGCAGGACGGCGGCGCGCCTCCCAGGGCCTCCCGGAGGGGGCCCTGCGCGGGCGGAGTCGAAGCACAGCGCCGCATCGCCGGTGCGTCGGCGGTGCGGCTCGCTGTGGAGCCCGATCGTCTCCGTGGCGACGGCGCCGACGCATCGCCGATGTAATCGGCGATGTTATCGGCGACGCGGCGGCGATCCTCCGACCCCAGCCGCTCGGGCCCCATCTGGCAGGCCTCTAGTCGGGCGGACCGGTCTGTTTTCTGTTCGAGCTCGCGCGGCCCGGTGCCTGGCGGCGGCCAGGGCGGTGCTTGGCCAGCCGTCGCCCAGCACTGCCCCGGCCGTCGCCGAGCCCCGCCCCACCGACTGAAGGCCTCCTCCGACCTCCGCCCGGGCCTCTCTGGGGCCTCTTCGGAGAGCCCAGGTGGCCCAAGCTTGTGGTGGCCCTACTCTCAAGTCGGGCGTGCGTGTCCCTCTACAGAGGGAATATCCAAGAATAGTCATAAAATAGTCAGGGGACGATTTTTCGACTATGTTTGACAATTTTGCATATTTCTTTGCCACTTTTACATTTCTTCAAACATCAGCCTGTAGGAGGACATGCCCGACTTAACTCTACTCGTGACAGACATCAACCATCGTCTGCGAAAATATCTGAGGTCGGGGGGCGAGTGCGAAGTGAAAAGGAGACCCCCCCCACGGGACATCGATTTCGGTTTCGTGTTCGTGTCGTGTGCGCGGGCGTTGAGGCGAAGCTGCGTGGGCGGGCGAGGGGAATGAACTCGCCGTAGCGGCGACGAAACTGAACTGAGCTCAATGATTCTACGCCCCCCGGTTGGCCAGCGGTGGTTGGAGAGGTGTCCCGCTGGTGTCCCGCTGGTGTCCCGTGGTGTCCCGCGGTGTCCCGTGGTGTCCCGTGGTGTCCCGTGGTGTCCTATGGCGCGGTGTCCCGTGGTGTCTTGTGGTGCCCCGTGGCGCGGTGTCCCCTGGTTGCCCATTGTGTCCCGTGGTGTCCCGTGAGCTCGATAGATCGATCGATCGTGGAATCGATAAACACATCGACAGTGAGATCGATAGTGAGGTGGATTGTGAGATCGATAGGTAGTGAGATCGATAGATGGAGTGAGATCGACAGTGAGAGCGATAGACACATAAAGGGCGATATCGATAAATAGATGCCAAACAGATGCTCCATGGTGCCCAACTGGTTTCTGCCGAATCCGATCCGACCCAAATCGCACATCGAGAGCTGCACTGTCCACCACACAACCTCCTTCCGAAGGGTGGTCGCATAGGTATGCAAATATTGGAAACGGAGGGGAAGACGAATCTCAAGAACATATTGGAAAATACCTAAGACGCCTACGGCGAATCACCGCCGCCCCCTGCCTGATAAAATCGCTCATGTAGCCGAGCGTTGTGGCAAGAGCTCTGCCAAGCTATCGGACCATATGTTCCCCCAACCCTTGAGGAAACCCTTCGGGGAACACTTGAGGGAGGATGGCGGGGAAGATCAGGAGGAGGAGGACGACGAGGACGAGGACGAGGAGGAGGAGGGGGCAACTTAGGAGCCTCTGGGGGCACTCTTTGGGCCTCCTAGGAGCTTCCTGGGAGCCTCTTGGAGGCATCTTGGGGGCCTCCTTGGGCCTCTTGGGGGCCTTTGGTGGCTTCTCGGGGGCCTCATTGGCCGTCTCAGGGTATTCCTGGCCCATCTAACGCCGTCGGAAGATGTCTTGGGGGCCTCTTTGGGCTGACTTGGGGCCTTCTTGGGGTGCTCCAGGGCCGTCTTGGAGGCCACCCCTCTTGGGGCCTTCTCGGAGCCCTCTTAGGTCCTCTTGGGCACTTCTTGGGCCGTCTTGGGGCCCTCTTGGGCCGTCTTGAGGCGCTCTTGGGAGCCTCGTGGGCCGTCTTGAAGCGTCGGGATGCCGAAAAGGCGAGAAGGCCGAAACCATAGAAACAACGCAATTGACAATCAACGATTTTGGCCACTGGGGCCATCTTCAGAGGCCTCTTGGAGGGGTCTTGGGGCGTTTTGGGGGCCTCTTGGGCCGTCTTGGGCTCATGTTGGGCTTTGGGGCCGATTTCTGGGCGTCGCGGAGCCCTCTTGGACCGTCTTGGGAGCC